CCAGTCTGTGATTCTCTCCAGACCCCAGAGGAGGAGCAGCACAGGCACAGTGGCTGCTCGCCCTCGTTGCTGGAACCAGTACCCACTGTTTGCTTTTTTGTATACTAACTGACTTCTAATGAAGAGAATTTTTTTTTGTTTTCATTTTTTGAGCAAGCACTCACTTCTGTTTGAAATGTCATTTTGTAAGAAACATAATCGTGAAAAAAAAACCAGCCCAAACAGGAATGGAGACATGTTGTGAATAAAGAAATATGTTTCTTCAGTAAGAAGGTTTCAGTCCAGTGAGATGAAAACTTTTTTTTTTGCTGTTTTGTTAAATCATAATCTCAAGCAAATAATACAATAAAAGCAGCATCGGACGTCGTGGCAGGCCGTCGTCCATCAGCTCTGGAGTTAATAGTACAAACTGAGGTAGGCCACTCGGCTCCTGTGCTTCGAGAACTCCTCTTTCATTGTTGAGCTGTAGAAAAAAAAATCACCGAGTAGAACTCATGAGGAAGTGGTGCATTTCTTCTCAGCAGCTGTGTCAAACATCAGAATCAACAGTTTATACTCTCAGAACTTGTTTTTAAATATGCAATTTATAAAATGGGGAAATGCTCTTCTATCTTGCCCAGAGTTTCGATGAGAACATCAACGCGCTATTATAAGGGCATACTGTGTGTTTTGGTCTTGGACACAGTGAGATGACAAGAAGATGAAAGAGGATCTGATTGGGCCAGGCACCAGAAAACATCTGAGTTTTAATAATAATACTTTTTGGAGTGTTTATAGTGAATTTTCTGAATTCCTTTTTAGATTATTTGACTAGAAGTAATTGCACATGGCTGACAAACAATTCAAACCCACCTCTCAAAGGAACCAGTCATTAAATAAACTTTCTAAGGCACAAGATATGTTGAATTATTAAACTTCAAAAGGGGCTCTAATGCACTGGTTCTCAACTGGTCTACTCTAAGGATCCACCACCAACTCCTTCATGAAAATCGTAACCAAATGTTTGATATTTTTTCCAACAATCAGATTTCTTGAATGGAAAACGATACGAAAAATACGATGAAACAAAGAGAACAAAACATGCATGTTTTAAGAGCGCTTCATAGACTTCTTACACTTTATTTATTTATTGTTCGCGACCCACTGAAAACAGCTCTGTGACCCACTTTTGGGTCCCGACCCCCCAGTTGAGGACCACTGCTCTAAGGGGGATGTGGTTAACTTTTAATGATAGTACATGGCTAGCTTTTTTTTTTTAGCCTTTATGCTAAGCTAACTGCTGGTTGTAAAGAAAACATTGGGGATCTCCTCTCAGTTAAATGTCAGTGAGAAAGTCTATTTATAGAATCATGAATATTCCTCTGAAGCTGAGCTACAACAGCTCACTTCTCTAAAGATATAAGAAAACATTTTAACCTTCTGAACAAGTTATAGATAATCTTAAATAGATAAGGGTTAGCAGGTATGGACATAATGTTATTCTTGTTTTTACATTTAAAAGTCAAATCTTTAGGGCGTCTGGCCAGCTGCATACATTTCATCTTTCTCCACCCACCTTCACCCTCAGTGACTTCTTCTCCAACTGAGGCAGTCTGGACCAGTCTGGGCTCCCAAAGCACATCGGCCACGTCACCTTCCTGTTTGTCACTGCATCAGGAGCGTAGGTCCCAGGGCTGGATCCCAACATGAACATCTGTTAGTTTCACTTCAGCATGTTACATTTACATTGTGTGTGTGTGTGTGTGTGTGTGTGTGTGTGTGTGTGTGTGTGTGTGTGTGTGTGTGTCTCACCCCGGAGTGCACTCTGAACTTAATGTGCTGCTGAACCTCTGTGTGTTGGAGTTAAAAGGGGTTTTGCCAGGAGGGGGGACTCTGGACTTGCTTTGGTCAGGCTGGTACTTCGTAGGAGAAGGAGTCACCGTCTGGAGATAGAAAATAAAAAAATCACATCTATTTACTTCTAAACATTCATAATAAAGTCTGAAACTGACTGCATATCAACAGCTTTCATCAGAACCTGGCAGTCTTGTTGTAAATCTCACTCCTCTAGTTTACATGCACACTTTCACTCAAACTTGGGTGACCAAACTCTGGAAATCAACTCTACATATAATACAGGCTTTATTGAGATGAATTAAAGTCTGAAATGAACGCAGTCATAACTCTTTTATTTAAATTGCAATTAATCTCATGCTATTTTGTCCCTTCAGGACGGTAGATAATTTACCTTTGAGCTGTTTGACTTTTGTTTTTCATACGTAACAAGATCCTTTTCCTGTGGTTGGGTTAATGTTGTAACCTTAAATCTACCAGAAGGTCCTAATTTAATTTCAAAATAAAAGCAGGGTTGAATTGAAACAGCAAGTAAAGTACTCTCAGCTCAAGACAGTACCAAATTCAAAATAAAAGCCTAACAGATGTTATTTTTAAATGCCAAATAATCTAAATTCAAATTTGCAATTTAAAATACCATTAATTGCCATAAAAAATGTGTAATCATTTGACAGCCCTTATTTAAATCACTATTAGAGTCTTTTTAAGTCCTTTTTGTTAGTTTGTTAAAGGATTCGGGTCAGGTTTTTCTTATCATTTTGGAATTTTGTGCATAAAATGAACCTATTCTCAAATATCAACACACAAAGATGGAAGGTTTTTGTTTCACATAAAAGCACCAAACTTTCTTTGTAGGCTAACCAAAAAAACTGTTCTCCAAAAAGCTGTCTATCTATCTAAGTACTATTATCCAAATATAATGTCACACCATCCTGTTTGATGTGCCCTCAGTACATGAATGATACCACAGGTAACTTGTGTAGTATCTATGTGGTTCATGTACCTTATTACAGGGGGGAAAGCGAGTTGCAGTCCTTGCAGAGATAACATATCCTCTCTTACTTTCTGGTGTCTTCTGTAAATCGTAAAGGATGGTGCCAAACTGTGAAGGAAATGAAAACATTTAGACCTCACTGATAAAATGAGAACACACCGATTTGATGACCTGTTAATGATTTTTTTTTTTTTTTTTTTTAGACAAATGTTTAAATGTGACAAGGATCATTAATTGTTGATTAAGCAGATATTTAAGAGCAGCTCTGGTTACCTCGTGGTTGTCATAGCAACCAGGGCCCATGTGTGGCTCTGGCTGTCGAGACATTTCGTTTCCCAGCCGGTCCGGCGCGTGGTGGACGGGGAAAAGTCTCCTCTCCTGAGAGCTGCCAAAGGATATTCTCCGAGTGGGCGCGACCGACATCCTGGAAACAACTTTCTGAGTGAAGAAGAGAAGAAAACTGGCGAAGAAAGTTAGGCTTGCTAACCCGCTAGTGTCGCCTCAAGCTTTCAGGACGTCGTCGTGTTTAGATTTGCTGTTACCATGGCAACAAGGATGACGCGTAAATACCTGGTGTGCAGTGGCGATTCTAGAGTCTCTTGGGGCCAAGAATCAATTGGGGGGGCCCTCTAACCAGGGTTTATCACCATTATGTCTGCCAGTGTCTTCCTCCTCCTCCTATTTTTCCTGTTTCCTTTCCTCTCTCCTATAGACGGATAATTCCTCTGCAGTTTTTTCTTTGTTCAAGTTCAAGTTATCTTTATTAGTCAAATGCACAACATAACAGGCAAAGTAGTCATATAAATAAAAAAATAAAAAAATAAAAAAATAAAATGAAAATGAAATAATGTAATACAAAATAGTATATATTGACTGTCATTGACAAACTCGCTTAGCATTTCAACGCTTAGCAGGACAACGAGAGTGAGTGCTGTCAGATGGGGCCCCATTCAGGAGGTTTCCTGCTTTCATCGCCAAATTTGCACGTGGTCCACTGCTTTGGTTTAAGTTTGTGAGCCCTCAGGGGCCCCCTACTGGTCTAGAGCCCCAAGCCATTTGCCTGGTTGACAAGCAGCACCTCTGCTGGTATGCAAATTGCCAATGTTTTTGTCCTCGATAAAAACAACTAAACGTGTCTCTGACTCCAAAAAGCTTTAAAAAAAAAACCCACAATGAAATCACAATTCAAACATTTTTTTTATTTTCAATTAAAGACATTGGCAAAATGCACATTCAAAAGTTTGACAAACAGAACAGAGGCACTGTCATTATTAAACCCGAAGCGAGGGATAAACATCCAGAGAAGGCTAAGTATTGCAGAGAAAGTCTTTTTATACAAATAAATAATTTGTCAAAAAAAATATTACTGAAGCTGTGGCACTCTGATTTGTCTTTGGAAGAAGTGAGAACTCAACTAAATCCAAAGTAAAAGTAAGGCAATTCCGAGAAGGAGAAACATTTCAGAACATGCTCGTAAACAGTAATTTACTCTTGATATACACACAGTCACGTCTTTCATAACCAGTAGTCTTTGAATTACAGTTTCGCTGGAAGAAAAAAATAAAAAAACTGAGGTCTGAAAGGTCCTACAGCATTTAGCGACACATTCATGATAGCACAGAAGGCATTCTCTGGTGAGAGAAATTATTGCAATTTTCTTTAGGGGGGGGGGGGGGAATATCCACAATGTCTGGCAAACTATGGCACACATTTATCTCCAGGCACACATGCAGTCAAAAATCACCTCGTACAAAAGGTGCTTCTAATTTGGCACTTGCAGATGAAGAGATATGAAATGGAATGTCTATTGTAAGAAAACAGGATGTAAAGACAGTTGTGGAGGGATTCAGGAAACAAAAGTAGAAGAAGAAATCTGAGGGAAACGTCAGAGAAAAGGTCCAAATATACAAAAGCAACATGACAAGGAGGGAGTGAGGGACTGCTTCACTCAGACTGAGGCACTGAAATCGAAGGACCTTTTGGGTCGTCGAATCGATCCATGGTGTGAAGCTGCATGATCATGTGCAGACCGTAAACAAAAATGAACAGCATGAGCAGCGACGACAGCAGCCCCATCCAAATCCCTGCAGTGAAGAAGCCAGCACAGTCGCTGGCGTAGGAGAAATCTGTGCCGTTGCCCAAACTGAAGCCCTGAATCTGCATCGAGAAATCAGAGAAGAAACACTCAATGAACAAGAGAAAGACTAAACACAGCAGTACATCATTAAAAACATAAATATTTGAGGTGCTGGATGTAAAAGATGCTGTTGTAGTTGTACCTGGAAGTCGACGAAGTTGAGCCTCCACTGCGAGGCGTTTGCGTTGGTGCTGTTAGGGAAGAGCAAAGCATCCCGAAGCTGCTGACAGACATGCAGTGATAGGAATACTCTGCAGGGGCGTAGATGCTGCGGCTCCCGAAAGACGCAGTCAGACTGCTAGCCTGAAGCTGCACAGAGTCCAGGCGAACCAGTTCCGGGCGGATACAGGATAGAACCGCTGACTCATGGCAAAGCTGCAAATCAACAGAGGAGTGTTTGGTGAATAAGGATGAAAAGTCAACGCTAGAAATGTGTGACAAGACAAGAGGTAATTATTGATATAAATAAATCAAAGGCTTGACTGTTCATTAACTGACCCTCGTGTTCACTATCTGAAAATTCCTGAAGTACTTGTGGTGACACTGAAGACCAAGACAGATGGAAACACATGACACTGCCCTGCTGAGCTGATTAAAAAAACCTATTCACTAGAAAGTGAACAAGCTATTTTGTATTAGTGTCCGAATTCTAATACAAGTCCGAGTGAACATGATCATACCCTATATAGTCCACTCATTGTATCCCAGAATGCACTGCAAAAAGTAGTGTACAGCCGATGGTCACTATCCGAGCAATATGTACCAGAATGCATTGCAGTGACTCGACTGCTCTCAGGCGGCCTCATTTCAGCTCTCATTTCTCACTCACTCTATCCACTGTCCTATCTCTCTAATAAAAAAAGCTACAAAATGCCCCAAAAATAAATCTAAAACAATGAATAGAGTAAAAGCTCATCAGCGTTAGTTTGTCCTAATGATGATGACTGACACAAGATAATAAGCCTGTGAGCATGAATAAATGAGTTTTAAAGTGAAAATATGTTTCATTATATATCTAAAAATGCAATATTTTATATTTATTTATTATTTGTAAATGTTTTTCTCTCTCTTACCTTAGTGTATAGCCGGATGCATAGGTGAGGACAAGTCTAGAGATAAAATAGGAGAACACATTAAGGATTATTTCTTTCACATAACACAACAACACTTGAGTTCTCTTTGCAAAGAGCAAAAACAAACAAACAAACAAACAAACAAACAAACAAAGAGCTTACTGTGAGTTGCTGATGTTACAGAAGGATCCCGTCAGCGTCGGTGTGTCTGCAGCGAGGTCTATCCAAGCTCCGGTGCTCGAGAGGCTGATGTTGAGATTCTGAGCCCAAAGCATTATGCAGGGGCCTCCGGTTCCATTAAACATGATCGGAGGTTTGACGCTTGGTGGTGGAGCGGCTTGGAGCAAGGAGCGCCCGACAGGCTGACCTGATAGGGATGTCTCTGAAATCACCTGCAAGGATGACTCCTCAAATTAATATGATAAATACTTTATGTCATGACTGAAATGTTATTGTATGTGATGTTTGGCGAGCATAGAAATGAGGGATTGTGATAAACATTGTATTGTGAGTTGAGTGTATTGTTTAACTATGGTGCACTTCACAGAAAAACCTCACCCGTGATGGCTGGGATCCTGTGTAAACTGCAGTGTATTTGACATTTTTGTCTTTCATGATACTCAGAACTTTCCCAATTTTCTCATCTGTTGAAAAGCAAAAAAAACAAATGAGTTACACACTAATTTATTAAGATATAAGCACAAGGTTATAATTGTACTCGAAACAAATTGCTCATCATTTTACACTTTGAAACAACTCAGAAAGTACCATTGTCATGTAGGACTTCTTTGCAAGACTTGTGTGCGCTGTAAAACAGAAAGGGTTTATTTTCACCTGAAGAAACAGAGACATTAATTGATATGATCCAGACTTTAAAAGCACAGCTCTTACTTAGTACAATAAGGGAGATTGATGAGCAGCAGGTTGCTGGCAGATGAGTTGATGCTGAGATGTGTCAGAGTGTCTGCGTCTACGAGCAGAGGAGACACACCCAGCTCCTCCTGCAGCAGAGCGGGGATGGCAGAGGAGCCGGACCACTCTAAAGCAGGCAGCGTCACTGATGAGGAGGAAGTCTGCAGTGCAGCCTGAAGGAGGGAGAAGGAAAGAATGATCAGTATCATTAGTCTAAAAAAAAAAAAAAATAGTCACCACACAGGAGGATTAATGTGAGCTTTTAAAAGAACATACCTCGAGATTTTGAAAGGCACTGTCCTGCTTGTTTCCAAACACACCACCAAAAACTGTGAAGTCATCTTTGCTTAACTGGAAGACAGAACAGAAAGATCTAAATATAACAAAACGAGCAGAGAGGCGGGAACAATGAAGACGGCAATACAACGCTACATCAATCCATCCCATTTATTACTCACCACAGAGAAAATATCCTAGCAATGTGTTACAGAGGAAGTGTGAAAGGGGAAGTAATAGCAGAGCTCATTGTCACACCAGAATGAGGAGTCTGCTACACAGTGTCACATGGGACTACAGTGCTACTACTACACATGACTCAGTACTCCCCTGATTTACACAACAAACATATCCAGGATCTAGCTTCTCCTGTCCAACACTTTTCACCCTCCAATCCCACTCCAGTTACTGAAATCTTGTACCGTAGTTCACCGAGGAGAAGAGACTGACCTTGTCCTGCAGGAACAACACCACAGTGCGAGGGCCGGAGCCTAAGGCAGAGGTGAGGTAGGCAGTCAGCTGGTCTGTGGAGGTGATGTGACCAGCTGCAGAAGGAGCCAGTGCTGGAAGTCTAATCATGCAGGACAGAAAAATTGCAACCTTGTAAAAAAAATTGTTACCAATCACTTTAACACATTTTAATAAACAGTGCTGCAGTTATTAGAACATGAATTACTAAAATCACACCATCACAAGTACAGGGCTGCGGAGGATGTCAGTTCCCCTGCAAAAAAGCTGCACCTTACTCAAAAAAATGATAACACTATAACATGTCTGCTTTCAGAGTTTGTACATGCTGTGATACTTTGTTGGTTTATTCTGTACTGTTCTAGGAGAGGTAACCATTTTCTGTTGTTCTTTCTCAGGTTTCTTCAATTTCTATCCTGTGTAATATTATGTGGTCTGTAGGAGTTTTTCAGCATCTGATTTTGGGGTGTAAGGGAGGGTTTCACATGCCTTCTTTCAGAGGAGCATCCGTTCCTGCAACTTCATGTCCACTCAACATTCTTCCCTTGACCAACCTGCCGTTTTCACCTCAAACCATATACAACCTTTTACTCATTTTGAATAACATCAAATCCAAAAAAAGCTCTAACATGAGGCGCTGGTTTAGCTCA